TAATACCTTCTTAAAACATGTTTCAATGGCTGTCTGGCAAAAACACACACACACACACACGTACACACGCACGTACTCACTCCAAACACAACAAAAACGAGACCCATTGGTGTCCCATGCTCAATCTTTTAGTAGACGCCACTTTCATGTAATCAGAATCAGATTTCCTTTCTTCTTACCCCAAAGATGTACATTGTTACAGCACAGGGACCATACAGCTAAAGACCAAACAAAGTGGAACATATAGAAAGTAATGGAGTAGCTTTCAGGTAAACGTAGTAATTGTTAAAGTATATATCGCATAGTGTTATTTTTAGGGCCGGGATTCGATTAAAAAAATTAATCTAATTAATTACAGGCTTTGTAATTAATTAATCGCAATTAATCGCATTTTTAATCGCATATAAATAATTGACCTGAGAACAGTGAGAAGCAATTTTTTTCACATGGATTTTAGTATACCATTGAATAATGACTGAATACATAAGCTTAAAGTCCTTATCTTGCGTAATTTACTGTAGCTGAAAGATCATAGAACTGTTTCAAAATGCATTAACTTGTTGGGTCTTATTCCAGTAACACGTGATATAGATCGAATATCGTTTCCTATTTGCTGTAAATCACTTGTTAATATCGGGAAAATGGGTCAAATTCAGAGGTATCCAGAAAAGTCTGGATTCAAACTTGCCGCTGCTTGGTGCTGTGTCGTGACGTCACGTGTGGTTCCGCGAATCCTGGTGAGTTCAGCCCGTCCCAGCATCACACAGTGTAGCATTGCTGGTTGAGCCGCATGTCAACTTTGTGAATCAGTGTTTATCATCGTCCACACCANTTACAGGCTTTGTAATTAATTAATCGCAATTAATCGCATTTTTAATCACAATCCATGTGAAAAAAATTGCTTCTCACTGTTCTCAGGTCAAATATTTATATGTGATTAAAAATGCGATTAATTGCGATTAATTAATTACAAAGCCTGTAATTAATTAGATTAATTTTTTTAATCGAATCCCGGCCCTAATTAAAATACATTCATCTGAAAAAAGAGAAGAGATCGTTTACACCAGATTTAGAAATTAGCTCATTTTCATTTGCAGTCCCTGGGCAGTTACACACATTATAGTCATCAAAACTTTGCTATCTTTGTAGTCTTCTGCTTTAACAGAGCAACGTGATGTTTTATATTGAGTCACTCTTTTAAGTGATACTCACACACTACCGGTAAGCATTGCAACACCTTATTTCATGTGAATGTAGCCTGATGTATCTAATACTATCTGCTATCTGAAATTTGGAAATCTAATTAAAAGCTGACAGTAACTGGTTACTTAAGTGCATTCATGATCCTCATATCTTTTTGTAAAAATCTAATGATTACACCTTGTGGGTCAATTGGGCTATCCTTATCTTGAAAAAGTAAAGTCGTTTTCATCTTTTTAATAGAAAAATGTATACTATAGCTGTCTAACATGTAAAGTAATAGCACAAGGATGTGTTCACTGGCAGTCCGACAGTAGGTGTTATCATGTAAAGTTTACCTTTTTAGGAACCTGCTGTACTCCTTAGCCCTGAGACGCTTCACACCCTCGGGGTCAGGATGGGATGCTAAGAACGCCTCATCAAACTTGTGGGCCCTAACGCTTGGGAACAGCAGATTGGAAAACGGCAGGCGAAAGCTCTCTTTATCGGCCAGACACATACATGTATTCTGAGCCAAATTACTGTAAAAACAAGGGAAGTTAGATGTTAGAAAAAAAGGAGATTTCAACAGGAGAATGAACACATGCTCTGACTAATAACTCACCCTGCCACATCTTCCTTTATATTGTAGGCAATGTCATGATAGTCACCAATGGTGTCTCGAGTTTTCTCTTCGATTATTTTCTTCAGAAGACCCCCCTGTCTTGGCTGTATGTCAACTGCTGAGCCGGTCCCAGGGCTCCAAGCATGAAACAGGGCTAGCAGGAGTCCACCGAGCAAAATCAGCACCAGACACTTCTTATTAAAGGTGGCACCCATCTAGATGGAAGATTAAAGAAAATGCCAAAAATTACAAATGTAGGCCACACAGGGTAAGGAAAACAAAAGCGGCAGTTAAGAGACGGATGTCCTGTGTTTTACACGGGAATACATGTCTGTATTGTTTTTTTATTTGACAGGAGCCTGAATTTTCAGGCTTTAAAAGCTGGCCGAAAATGTATATAAAATCATTAAACTTGCTGAGGCTACGGGCTTGTTTAAAGCTAGCTGGATTGTGTTATACAATATTAGACCTTACTGTAAACACCACTAGACTATAACATTTGAAATTATGAGTATTAACTTCATTTCTGTTGTCATGTCTAAAACTGTAACCGGAACTTAAACTTGTAACCACATTTGCACTAAAGAGCTGCTCTACTTTGCACAGCTTTCACTGAGGTCTAACTGGTTTGTGGGCTTCTGTTCACAGTAAAATACCTATTTAGCACTAAACAGCAACATCTCTTCCGCTCTGTCCTCTTTTCAGTTTAACCTCTGTTCAGTTCCCTCGTGTTTTTTGCTAGCACTTAAACTGTGTTATAAAATAGCTGAATTTGAATATAGTAGTTCTGATATACAGTACATATCGTTATTCTCTTTTCAGATGACACAATCACAATGACATAGTAATTGAATTCTGGTTTCGTGAATACTACATATTAACCATGCAGGCAGCAAGTTGCTGTGCTGCTGTGATAAAATTCTGGTTTTGACAAATTAAAAAAATAAGCTAGATAAGGAAAACACTTACAATACTTAACTACGAAACAGACACTAACCCTCACTCGGCTGACTTATGTAATTGTCTTGAAAAAGCTCAGCTTTCCCAGTACACACTAAAACTTTATGCTGACAATTTATCTACTGTGGAGGCAATATGGAACTAAAGAAGGCAGCCCCAGGTAGTAGTGAGGCTGAAACAGAGAGGAAACAAAGTGTGTTGACATCTTTGAATGTGGACGCACATTGGGGCTAATCCTCCTCGAGGGGCAAGGTGCACTCTCTCGCAAAATGGAGCGCTCCAAGCTATTATCAAGAAGATGATCTATTGTCTGGGTGAGGAACAGTCTCACAGCGAATTTGGTCAGAGGACAGCAGCAGAGAGTCAGATTGTAGAGGCCGACACTCTCTGAGGAGATTTCACTCTGCAATGTTCTGTTGATTTACGTCATGGTGCAAGGTTTTATCCTAACAGATGTGCAGAAGGTTCTTTGAATCACAGTATTTGCCTGTTAGGCTCAGTGCTTCAACCTTGTTTTTCAAACGAAGGGTGTTTTTTGAGGCTTTACCCTTGCCAGTTATTTTAGTCTAGAGTTTGTTTCCGAAGTGACTTACCATATTGCTGCCCTTAAAGATTGGGCATGGTCTAATAGCTAGCAGCACAGGTGGGAGCACAAGTACTCAGATCTTGTACTTAAGTTCAAGTAAAAATAAGTGTAAGAATACTCTGTTACAAGTAAAAGTCGTGTTTTCAAAATTTGACTCAGGTAAAAGTACAAAAGTATTCACATCTAAATATACTTAAAGTACCAAAAGCAAACATACTCATTATGCAGATCAGCCCATTTCAGAATAATACATATAATAAGTTTTGATTATAATTATTGATGTATTCATATATTTGTCAAGCTGGTTGAGCTGGAACTAACTTCAATTACTGTGGGGTAGCATGTGAATTTAATCCAGGTGTATCTAAAGTATTTCTTAAGTGTAGATCATATTGTTTATAATTTATTTATATCTGCAAAGTAACTAAATATACTACATAAATGTAAAAGTAAAATATTGACCTCTGAATTGTAGTGGTACCTCAAAAATGTACTTAGTTACTTATCACCACTGGCTAGAAATTCTGACTGCTTTGCTGTTTCACTATGCTTCACAGTTGTTCATTATGTCAACAATTGTCATGATAAAAGTATTATCAAAGTTAGGCCACTGGGTCTGGATTCAATTGAGCTGAAACCTCCATTAGTTTAAATATTCTCTCATTAAAACAAGTTATCACATGTATTGTGACAGCATAAACTAAAATATAATCTAGTATACGGAACTGAAGCCTGCAGCAAACATCTAAAGAGCAACGCTTATTAGTTCTCCAGGCTGAATACAATATCTCACAGGGTTTGTTTGTCGTGTTCATTAAGAATATTTTTCAAAACAGATTGGTAACTACACAACTGAATTCATGGTTGTGTAAACACTTTAGCCTAACAAGAAAAAAAACATGTCTAACAAGTTCTTAAAGTCCTTGTCTAACTTTCTGTATACATTCTTTCAACCCCACACTTAAATGTATAATTTAAAACATATTATTCTAAAACACAATTTTCAAGAACTTTAGGAAACAGGAAATACAAACCGTATCTCAATGCAATATGATAAGCAGGCCCAACATGTATTGTTTACATCCAAGTAGACAAAAGAACATGAAGAATATAAATTAACATACTTCTTACTGTTGTCGTTTCTGTAGGATAAATCCTTCCTGGACACCTGTGTTAAAATGTGACAAACTTTGTCAGCGATCTTTCCTGTGTGCCCGGACAGGCGTGTTTTTGAGTTGTGGACTTTGGTTGCTGCTTCGATCGGAGCCACTCCTTGACAAAGCGCGCACAAGTCAACAGCGTCACCACAAAGCAAACCATTGAGAACTTGACTTTACATTGGAGAGAAAGATAACAAGTTTTTCAAGTTTGACCCGGCCGCAAGTGAAGCCTTATTTCCCCAATCAAATAGTAGGCTATCATAGACTCTAGCACTGCAGTGTAGTTAGCACCTGTTTGTGCGTAGCCTAATGCTGAAGCAGCATCACATGCCAAAATGCTTCCTGGCTCTCAGTTAGTTTGAAAGCCATGGAGGCCCAATAAGTGCAACTCAAAAAGTAATGGGGAAACGTAAAACCTTGAGGGCAGATTCACATAAAGTGCTTTTTTTATTATTTAAATGATACATCTTCTCGTAGTTAATTTTTTCAAATTCAACATTTTTAAACACATTTACTCTCTATTTGTAATAGGCAAGAAGGAGTATGTAACATACATATTTAAATAGGTAATTTAAGTGTTTCGTGTAAAACAAATCAGACACCACTTGTTATTCAAGTTTGTTAATTAAAGCATGTCTGGAAGTGATATTTAGAGCTTCTGTTCAATGTTTATTTAAGAATTACCATAAGTCCACAGCAAATAGAAATACAATGCATTAGTCTCGACATCAATATTAGTGGTCATCTTTTTATCAATATAGTTTTTTATTTTCCAGCTCATGTCTTGTAATAGACTCAATCAATATTTAACCTTTTTTTGCATGACTGTCTTGACTTAATTTTGCATTGACTCTACTGATTGTCTTAATGTTCCAGACTCATTAACTGCATACATCAATACACTGTCAACTGTCACGATATGCTTGCAAATTCTTGTGTGTCAACCACACATTCTTTAATCTTTAATTAACTTTATGATGTGATTACATCTGTAGCTGTGGAGATATGTCATTCTAGATTATTGTATAGGCTTTGTTAGTGTGACACCTAGTGGTCATACAAAAATACCCTCTCTTTCCTTTCTCGCTTATGTCACAGAATATTCCAGTTACTTATTAAAACATTATAAATACATGTATCAGCCTATAAATCAAACTACTTTATTGCAGTTAAAGGTGGGGTAGGTAATTTCGGAGAAACCAGCTCGAGTGCGCTAGAATTTGAAAATACACGAACGGAGAAAATCTGCAACTTCCTTACAGAGCCCATCCTCCAACACACACGAACGCGCACATGAACAATGAGGGCACGAGATAAATTTGTGCACGGATGGAAGGCTGACAGGCAGGTAGGCCATCCAGTTAATTTAGCCAGGCCGGCTAAAATGATTTGTCGTGCTTTTTACANTGTAGAATATGGTCATGTAGAATAAGGCATTAATAAGTGTTTTATAATGACTACTAAAGAGCCAATATACTGCTAATATGCATGTTAATTAACAACTAGTTGATGGTTAATTTGTGTACCTTAATATAAAGTGTTACCGAAACTATGCAGGACTCACCTTTGCTCCTGTTTGGTCATTGCAGTAATCCATATTATGAATTCTGTTTTTAAATTTAGCAATCATGATGTACATAGAATGCGCATCAGCCAGTAGTGGATCATACACTCAAACTTCCTAAAGCTCACTTTGTATCATCAGACCCTGTGACCATATTAGGAAACAAAGAAATAACCAAACGCCCTCAGGGTTGAGGACATTATTGAAATAGAAAAGAGATAAGATCAATGTTGCCTATAGTATTTCCACTATTCCAGTGGGACATTTTCAACATTGTCTCATGTCTTTCTGTCGCATCGCAGATTTGTTTATTTATTTTGTGTCTTAACAGCTGTCTGTGTTAATTAAGTGTCAATTCTGTAATTACTGAATCCATAGATTAGCAAAGCACACACGTCACGAAGACACAGATCACAAAATTCCTAATTTCCAACGTTCATATTCAATCAGACAGTGAACAATGTAAGTGTGACACGTTTCATGGCTTGTGATTTCTGTCTCACTCACTATGTTGCACACTTTCATATCATGATTCCATAATTTCCCTTGACACCATTTTTATGAGCAGGTGGGACATGATGAAATAAGCAGCAGAGCGAGTTCAAGTCCGGTCAGTCAGTCAGTGTAATATCCAGGTGGGATGGAAGCTCGGCAGCAATATTGCCAGCTCTCATCCACACAGTAATGAGCTTCAAACCGTACATTACATCCCCATTCGACCAGATCTCCAAAGTCAGACTCCTCCAACATGGATTCAACACAAAAGATCACCTTAAAGCTTGGTCTGTGGCTCTCCAGATGGTTCTTAAAAAAGCACTTATTTTTCAGTGATGTCTACTGCAACTCCTCAGAATGTGATAACAAAGTTGCTGCCAAGGCAAAACAAACAAATAAATCCCAGCAAAACAGGGGAAATTACAATTAAAAACGTTTCACAATTACTTTGTACAGTTTAGCTCAAAAATTTAATAGTGTATGTCAAAATGTGTTATTCTCCACCATAAGCAATTAATAAAAATTAAAGATCTCCTATCATGCTATTTTTAGGCATATATTATGGGTCTCACATACTTCTCAACCCTCCCGATTTCGCGGAAGACTCCCGATTTCATTGCCCTCTCCCGGCTTCCTCCCGGGGTCACATTNGTGACGTAATGAGGAAGCCGCCTTTCACATCCTGCAATGCATTAAAGGTGGGGTAGGCACATTTGGAATATAACAAAAAGTGTATCTCGAGTCGGTTTCTCAAATGTGCCTACCCCACCTTTAATGCATTGCAGGATGTGAAAGGCGGCTTCCTCATTACGTCACCAACAGCCAGCCAATGAGAGGCCGCATTTTCAGAGCTTTAGCCATTGATGCTGAAGAATGTAAATCTACTGTGAGCCTTGCACCCTACAAATCATCTTCTTTGTCTAAGGAAAACAGCGACAACTTCAATCAAAAGCATTTCACCGGATGAATGTGACTAACGTGTGACGACATGACTGACAGGTGTATCAGGCTGCTGCGTTTTTAAGAAACAGGAAATATGCCGCTGCTAAAGGCTTGAGGGTTTGCAAGCATATCGTGCTCACAAAGGCTGATGCCCCTTCAAAGGTAAATAGCACAAACATAAACACATTTTTGCTGAGTGGAAATATACACACAGCCACTAGTGTGAATAACATTTCCGCAGATTCATAGTTATGGGTCTGACTTCCACATGGCCTTAATTCGCTGTCGCAGCAGTCATGTGTTTTGGTGTAAACGGATGTAAGCCTCGATTAGACCTACTGGATTGTCGCCTATTTTATTCATGGTCAGGATCATGGAAGGAAGCATTAAAGGTGGAGACTACGTGTTTATCAAAAACAACAGTCGTCATGTTAACTGTTAAAATCTGCCTTTGGGGTCTTTAACCACATCATTGAGGCAACACAGACTTATATGAAATGTAGCAGTGACCCACTGACACTGTGTGAAGTCAAGTGTAAAGTACATGTCCACAAATACTTCTCTAACGTTCTCACGACAAACTGAACGTGTTGTATTAAAGCAGGGTTAAATGTAAGATTTTATAACAAATCTGACTTGAAGATGGAGAGAAATGTAGTGATAAGGTTAATAGCAAAACGTTGACGCCTCTTTATTTCTGGGTCAATCAATATGATACCACCATTTTTATTGGGGCACACTTTCTGATTTAGCCTACATTAAGGTACAAATAATTTAGGTTGGGAACACAAGTTCTACATGTTTACACAGTCAGTTTCTGTGCACAGACTTTACTGCTTTGTAAAACAGTTGTTTGTGGTTCCTGTCCAAATGTATTGCAATAACATGCAGGATTTTTAAGACAACAGTTCCCTGTTAATAAAGGAAGGGGAGATTAGGCTCCAGGGGGCAATGCTTGAAATGGTTTGTAGTCTGGATATTAAAAGTGCAACCCATAACAGAGTGTTCTCAAACCCCATTTTTTTCATTTATTAACCATTCACTCAGAGTTGTTTGCCTTTTGAGACACAATGATTTGCAAAATAATATTCAAGGTACTTCAAGAGACACATAGTCAGTCCATCAAACTGTGCGTTGTGTTCCCGTGTAGGCATGGTGTAACTGGGACATCACTGTGCTTGGAGCAGTCTCACCATGAAGGGCTCCAGCTCCAGATTGGCCTTCTCCCTGGGCTTCCTGGTGGGGGCTTGCAGCATCTACTTTTTCCTGCGCCAGGTGTGGTTTGAGAGGAGTTACCCGGTGCTGACAGAGGCCCAGGAAAGAGACACAGCGGTGTCGGAGAGCCCAACCAGCTGGAGGAAGGAAGGAGCTGCTCTCATCAACCTGCTCCACCCTCACCATGCAGGTGGTTTACTCTCTTTCACGCTGATCCTCTAAAGATAAGACCATCTAGTATGGGCTGACAAATAAAGCTAATTTATCCTAAATCAAAATGCTGTATATCTAGATTTGACCAAATATAACAATATTAAGTAAGATGCTTTTGTGATTATGGTGGTGGTGAAGTAAAAAAAAGAAAGCATTATAGCACACCACACAGAAGGAATTTGGAGTTAATTGATTGGATATGGATCTGCCATGCTCATCTGCCATGGCATTGGGCCATTCCTGATGGAACTACAGATACATTTAGTCCACTGCCCGCCAGTTATACAGTTTGATGTGTGTCCTTCTAGATGAAGACAGCCGGCTGGCAGATGTGTTGTACCAGAAGGTACGCGTTCTTTGTTGGGTGATGACAGGGCCGTACAACCTGCAGAGCCGGGCCCGCCATGTGAGGGCCACCTGGAGTCGCCACTGCAACGTGGTGGTGTTCATGAGCTCTGTGGAGGACCCAGACTTCCCCACTGTGGGCCTGGGCACTAAGGAGGGCCGTGACCAGCTCTACTGGAAGACCATTCGAGCTTTTCATTATGTCTACGAGCACCATGCGAGTGAAGCAGATTGGTTCTTAAAGGCAGACGATGACACCTTCATTGTGGTGGACAACCTGCGCTGGATCCTGTCGAACCACACCCCTGAAGAGCCCATCTACTTTGGCAAACGCTTCAAGCCTTACACAAAGCAAGGTTACATGAGCGGAGGGGCTGGCTACGTGCTGAGCAAAGAGGCCCTCAAGAGATTTGTGGAAGGCTTTCGGACCAAAGTTTGCACACACACCACCCCTGTAGAGGACTTGGCGCTGGGGCAGTGCTTGGAGAAGATGGGCGTTCAGGCGGGGG